CAAGAACTATCTCACCCATAAGCGTAAAGCAATTTCCCTCGAGGACTTGATTGTCAAGCTGCGAGTAGAATTCCGAAACCGCAAGATATATGCTGTTCTCATTCCTAAAAATGATGTGAACTTGGCTGAGCATAAGAAAAAGGGGAAAGGAATATTTCATCCTAAAGCTACCACAAGCTTTAAGAAGCAAACAGAACCTAAAAAGTTCTTTGGTAGCTGCCACAAGTGTGGTAAAAAGGGCCATAAAGCTGACATTTGTCGTAGCAAAGCTGGTCCAAGCAAAAACAAAGGGAAGTCTCAAGTCAATCTGACTGAAAATGATCTGTGCGCTGTGGTCACAGAGATCAACACAGTTGAGGATAACCCAAGGGAATGGTGGTACGGCACAGGTGCCACCACTCACATATGCATTGATAAGAGCATGTTTAGCACTTATCAAAAATACAAGAGTGAAGAGCGGTTGTTGATGGGTAACACCGGCTCGTCCAAGATTGAAGGTCGTGGCGAAGTGAAGCTCAAGATGACTTCAGGACATGAGATCACTCTCAAGAATGTCAAGCATATGCCAGATATGCGAAATAATTTGATTTCCGGGACGCTTCTTAGTGCCGCTGGATTTGCTGTAACTTTCGAGTCGGACAAGCTAGTTCTCAAGAAACATATGCTGTACTTGGGAAAGGGTTATGTTAAGGAAGGACTGGTCAAAATGCGTGTAATGACAGTCCATCCTAAAATATTGTAACCATTTGTGTTATTTTCTTTTTTTCAATCAGTAAGAATTATTCAATTGCTTATTTAGTTGAGTTTTTTCAACATTTGGCATGAACAAATAGGAAATGTGAATTATAAATCTATACAAATATTTATTAATTCGAACCTAATTTTCAAATGCAAATTAAGTAAAAAATAAATGTGAAGTCTGCAACAGGTAAAAACTCACAAATAAACTATAAAAATAGTTCTAAGTAATAGAGAGGGAGAATACAATGGACTATACAATGTGTTTTGTAAAGAACCTGGCATTATCCATCACATAACCGCTCTTTATTCACTTGCATCAAAGGAAGTTACGGAATTTAAAAAAAAATTCCAAGCTCTAAAAGAAATAATCAATGCAATGTTGCATGATTTTAAGTGCCCTCAGAAAATGTGGGGAAAAGTATTATGCCATATGAGCTTTGAAAAGGTAACATACATTCATACAAATACCTAAAAGTGTGGGGGTGCCTTGCAAAAGTTTTACCATCATTAAATTCTAGCAAATTAATTCTGAGAAACAGATTAATTATGGAACCTAAGTTCATAGCTTAAGATAAAGCAAATGAATCAAAGGGTGTCTAAAATTGCTGGAAAATTTCTAATGGGGAAAAAAAAACAATTGCAGGGATGTGTGTACACTATGATAGTCAATTGACTATAGCTCGTTACTGAGTTTGTGTATAATGGTTAATCGTGTCTTTTAAGAAGATACGTAAGGCCATTTAGACAATTGATCTCAAATAGAGTAATCTCATTGGATTATGTTCGATCATATGAAAACCTAGGATCCAATTTTAAAGGTGTGTAATGAGGTCAAATTATAAATCATCAAAAGGAATGGGTTTAACGCCTATGAATTGAGGATGCTTGATGGTAACCATACCTACGTGACTGGAGATCCCAAGATCTAGGTTCAAAGGGACAACAAATTCAAGTGGAATCTAATAAGAAAACTGGGAGACTTATGTCTCTTCCCAGTTCCTAGGATGATTACCAGTGCTACCTGTATGTGTAGAGGATAAGCATTTTCTTTTAAAGATTTGAGTCCATAGCTTTAAGATATACATGGAGTATTACATGATGCTCCTTTAAACAAATCACCTTGTGAGTGTGAAATGCAGCCGTTTCTAGGAGAATGAAGGAAAGACTATATTCTCCAACTTCACTCATGATTACCAGGCATGTTCAAGGCCAAAATGAACATAATATAGAACCTTGTTCTATGAGAGAATGAAGCTGTGTTGTAGCTATTGTCTCGGTTTACATCAAAACCCGAGTGGTTCAAGACATCATGTTCATCTCCTGGTCGAGTAAATCCGATAGCTATTAACAATGACTGGTTCAAGGCTGAAAAATGCTACCAACTCATATGCAATGGATTTTTTTGTTGTACTCTCAAAAAGTCCTTTTGTCGAGTCTTGTCTAGGAAGTCAAGTTTGTCGAGTCGTCATGTGTTTAGAGTCATTTCTATTCATGTGGGGGATTGTTGGAACTCGTTTTTGACGAAATGGTTTTAGACTGTTTCCGGTGAGTTTCCGGCGAAGACGTTCGTCGGAATAACCGAATGTTGGGCACGATGACTTCGTAGCCATAAGCATTATATTGTAATGTTATCAAATGTCAGAATCGGAGTTGGTTTGAATGAGAAATAGATGTTCGAAGTAGGTTGCTGGTAAGCTTAAAAAATAACATTTATAAAATGTCCTACTTTGAAGATATGAAGTGATATCCTCTTGTATATAAAGTGGAGAATACAAAACAAGGTTCAAAACCTTGGGTATTAAATAAAAGAGAGTTTCGGGCCAGACTCGAGGTTTGGGCTTCAGGATTTAGAAAATGGGCTGACAGATTATATTATTATTCTTTTGGTCCAAATTCTTTTAAGTTGTTTTGTTGACTAAATCAACAAATATCTCTTTTTAAAAAACTTGATATTAGTAACGTTAATATCAATCTATATTATTATTTGCGAAGTCAAAAACGCACCACAGCTCTTCTCAAGGGGGTTAGCGCCTTCTGCCCTTAGTGGGAATTTTCGGATTTTAAGTCGATTGGTTTTGGTTTGGTTCTCATTTAAAAATCGACTATAGTAATCTAAACCTTATACCGGTTCTATGAGATGGGCTTTTTGAAATTTATATCCAACTAGGATATTGGCCCGCACGCATGTGCAGGCATGAACGATTTTAAAAATGTAATTATTTAAATATAATATTTAAATCCGTTTTAAATATTTTGATTTTTTGTAATATATAAAATTCAAAGTCAGTGTTTTGAATTATAAGACTTTAAATTAAATAGTAAAATATAATCTAATTTTTTAACTAAACATTTTGTTATAATAAAAAATTCATTTATATTTTAAGACAGACTTGAAAAATAATTATTAAATTTTGAAAACACAAAAATTAATTTTCTATGATCATGCTTATGTTAGAGGGTCAAATGGGTCAAATTTGTAGATAGCTGGTTACCTTCTTCGGATTTGCGGACCAGGCTGGAAATTTTGTCTTCTCTGTCTTTTTTTTTTTGAACAAACATTTTTCATTTTCTTTATCTTTCTATAATCTTCCTCAATTTAAAGCATTATTTCTTCAAAGATTCCGTCATTGTTGGTCTCGATCTACTCATATGTGCGATTTTTCTACTTATAATTTTATCAAGTAGACTCTACAAATAATTGTAAGATCATCTCCACTTAAGCATCAAGTATTTCAATTAACCCTATTGCAAGATATGTTTCAGCGAAGGTTGGATATAAAACTCTGTTTACTGTCATAATATCTTCAAAACATACTGGTCTTCTCTGAACATTTAACAACATTTTAAGGTAGAAAAAAACTCACCATATTCTTCTGAGACTTCTGGAAGGCTAATATCTTAGGGAACATTGTTTTTTCTGTTGCGAGGGAGCCACTTCTTAAATCTTTTATGCCAAACTCATTTGTTTGGAAATTCAGTGTAGTGATAAAACCTTGCTTCATTACACTCACGATTGGAGTGATCTATACAACCTTAAAGTTTCATTTTTGCCATATTTGATTTAGATAAATGGATTGATAGAATTGTAATGCCCGCACTTTGAGTTAGGGTTTGATTTGTTTATTAGGGTTTGATTTGTTTAATACTCATGTTTGTTGTGATGTTTTCTTATATAAAGATCCGAGTATTTAACTTTTTCATTAGTTATTTGGGATGAACGTATGTTTATATGGATCTTTTTGGTTTTTATTAAATGGATATTAAAATTTTCAAATAATGTAGAGGATAATGATTTTGGTTTTTCATTAGATGCATGTTGATTTTTTAGGATATTCAACGTTTGTTACGAAAAATAATGTAGAAGATTATTAAATTGAAATCTTATATTTATATTTGTTATTATTTTTAAACTAAGCTAATCTTTTTAAATTTTGAATGTTTTACAGAAGATCATAATAATATTTTATTCTGTTATTATAATTTCGCCAACTAAAGTATGTGAAAACATATGTGCACGTAAATGGAGCACACCTTTACAAAAAGTATGAATTATTTGGTAAATTATTTGATCAATGTGATTTTGTTATTATAATTTTACCTATTGAAATATATAAAAATATATGTACATGTATTCCATATGAATATAGTATTATAATATATATATAGATATGTATGTATCTATATGGAAAATCATAGTGGTCCATGACAAAGTTATAATAAATTTAATAGGTATATAATATAATATTATCTATAGTATTATAATATATATATTTATATATGTGTATTAAAATCATCACGTTCAGCCCAAAATTCATCTATTATTATCCATATAGATGAATAATAATATATCAGGTCATTCGTAATGCATCTGATGAATCATTCCAGATTTAGTTATTAGTATACTAAATTTTGTCATTTAATTAATTTTTTTTATTAATGAAAATATCACAAAATAATCTTTTTGTCATGTCATAAACCACATGTGTTAGTAAATACCATGTCACAATTACATTATCATTACACATCATCATTTCCATATCACATTTAATTATGATAGAGAAAAGATTTTAACCAATCAAATTAAAAAAAATCAGCATTTTTCATTAAACTACATTCTCAATTAATAGGTAGAGGATATATCCCATTCATCTAAACAATTTGAAAAAGTTAACTGCTTCTCAAAACTATATTACAGAACGAAAACCCTAAAATTTTGATAGTTATATATACTGACATATATCCCATTCATCTAAACGAAGACCCTAGAATTTGATCAATGGCCAGGACTAAGCTCCATCTCCAGAGAACAGATACTCTCATTCCTCATGTCACCGTCGATGGATCACCTCAACGCAGTCTTGACCAAGATCGTATTTGTTGCCCTCATCGATGGTAGCAAGGGAAGTAAGTTGTGTTTGTCGGTGGCTAATGGTGTCCTAATATTTCTATTCTTATGTTTATAAATTTGTTTGTTATTTTTGAATTTGATGTGTTCTTCATATTATGGTTTATCTTTTTTCGTTGTTTGTTTATGTTTGATTTTTCTAATTGGTATGAATCTTAAGTAATCTGTGTTTGTATTTTAATCCTTAAGGAGATCTTGGAAAGCAGACGACAAAAAGAGAATAAAAATTGGGGATGAGAAATCCTTAAACCCTTTGAGGTTTTCAGCGGAAGATGGTTGAGTTCGTGAACCTGCGAGCGATGCTTCGTCTCCAGTGGCAATAGCGGAGGAGTGAAAGGAGGACCACTCGAACGACAATGCGCCGCCTTCTCCGGAAAACAGTGAAGAAGATGAAGAGAAATCGAAGCAGCAAGAGATGGATTGGAAGATGGACGAGGAGTTCAAGAGATTTATGGGGAATCCATCAATCGAAGCAGACGAGGACTGATCGTAAGCTGAAAGAGCTGAAGAGAGATAGCAATAGTGAGAATTTCTTAAATTAGGGTTTTCTTCCGGCAGCTCTCTCTCCTCTCTCGCCTTTTCGGGTACCCTCTCTCTATCTCACCCTCTCGCGTTTCATCTCATTGTGCCTCTCTTCGTCTCCTTCCGTGTTTGTTTTGTTTTGGGGATCTGATAAATGGCGCACAATTCTCAAAGACCCTGAGTTTAGTGGAGTCCTGTACCTGCGCTCCAATGTTGATCTTAAGGTCATGGTTCCTTCTTATCCTTCCTTTTGTGTCAACTCTCTATGATGCAGCTGTATTTTTGTTTGTGATTATGAATATTTATCTGATTTAGTTTGGGTTTGTTGCTGTTGGGATACTCATTGTATGATGAACAACACAAATGAGTATTCAAACAGTTTTTTGTCCAACTTAACACATTCCATCATATACTTAAGTTGAGTTCTGTCTAGGCAGCTCCTAGATATAAAGATGGTTAATGAGAATATGTTTGATTTAGTGGAAGTTTTCAGTTAAGTTCACAGCCATAGGTGAAAGAATCATCTTTAACTGGTGATGAATGATATTTGATGAATAGCCCATCTGAAGTGAAGTTCTAAATCTGATGCTGCCTTTAATGTTTTGATGTCTAGCACGTTTAGAGTGGACTTTAAGGTTTAAAAGCTTAGAAACTTGAACCTAAGACTTGGACTCAGGGTTCACAAATTCGAGATTAGATATTCCTTTTTGTGACAATTTTATATTTGGACTTTAATGTCTAAATGCTTTCCCGTTCTTATACTTCTGCAGGTTGGTGCGTGTTTGGTGAGCCAGAATGGTGTAATTCTTGGTAAGATGATGGATCACACTTTGTCTTTTGACATCTTTTTCGGACAAATTTGAAAAAATGAATTCTGTAGGTATCGACATAGATGAGTAAAGAACTTTTTGTTTCTCATTTTAGGGATTGGCTATAATGGTTTTCCAAGAGGTTGCTCGGATGACAGACTTCCTTGGGCCAAGGTATTACTATTCCTACATTCCCTTGAACTCAAAGTAAACATACAGACTCTGTCATTATAATTCTGATTCTACGGCAGCCAAAAATGATGTATTTGCGTTTCCGTTAGACATGTTCTTGATTTCGCTGCTGCCAATTTTCAGAAGTCGAAAACTGGGAACCCATTGGAGACAAAGTATCCGTAAGTACAAATCTCAAATGATGCCAGCTACAGTATGTTGTAATCCTCATCCATTTTTGGGTCATTGCTAAGTTGTGTTGTGTCTGTCTTTTTGGTTTTTATAGATATGTTTGTCACGCTGAAGTCAATGCCATACTAAACACAAACCACACATCTGCGGCTGGACAGGTTAGTTTCTTTGAACATTGTTTTGTCACATGGGGTTTCTCAATTGAGCTAAAAGATCAAAGCATGTTGAATAGTCTATACAACAGCTAATTATTTGAAAATAGAATGCTGAAGACTCTCTTAGCTGCAAAGAGATTGACATGAAAAGCCATATGCAGTTTCTGTTCTAAGCTATTTGTGTCTGAATTGTTTATTCAAGTTTGTTTGTGTTCCTCAAATCTTTTGCAGAAGCTTTACGTGACAATGTACCCTTGCAACGAATGTGCCAAGATTATTATACAGGTTTGTTCTTCAAACAACTCGAATTGATTTGGATCTGTAGTAGTGTTATACTGCAACTGTCTTTAGCTAACCGGTTGTTTTGATATATCACCGGTTAAGTTAATGCAAGTAGATCATCACAATCACATTGACATGCTTCATTTTTGGTTTTCTTTGTTGCAGTCTGGTGTAACTGAGGTAATCTATTTTGTGGAAAATAGATTAAATGACTCAGATATTGCCTACGTCGCTTCTCACATGCTCTTAGCCATGGCCAACATCAAAGTAAGTCTCTTAAGATTAATAAGTTCAGGACCTTTCATTACAATCATTTGCTTTGGTAATCTCATTTTGGTATCTAACTATCTGAAAAAAATTGTCAGGTTAGGAAACATCAACCACATATGGATCAGATCTTGATCAAGTTTCAAGACGACTTGCTCTGACCAGGGGCCTAATTGCACCAATTTAAAACGTAGGGCCAAATCTGAGACTCTTGAGATCACTGTATTTCAGACATGGATTCACTCAAAGAATCATTCTTTTCTTCTTTTATTATATTTATGTTTGAACATTTATAACACAAATTCAAGAACATTGGCACAAACAGACAGAGAAGCATTACGAACTCAAAAGACACGAATTTACACAAGAAAGAGACCATTTTGTTAGACTCGGTAGTTTTTGGGAAGAGGCATGACACCGTCAAAGAAATCCCCAAAATAGCCAGATGGCTCATGGATGAGTCTTGCGATGATGTCTCTTAAAGTGATGAGTCCTTCGAGGTTACCTGAATCATCAACCACATATATCCTATGGATCTTCTCGGCGTCTAGCATCAAGATCAGTTCCTTTAGCGTATGGTTCTTTGTGCAAGCGATGACACCACTCATCATAGGTGCTGATGTATCCCCACGATGCTCTCTCACTGCCACTAAGAAGTTCTTCATTGTGATTCACCTGAACAAAAAGAAGATCAAGAGAAAAGCATTCACTAAGAAGTTCTTCGTTGTGATTGACCTGAACAAAAAGAAGATCAAGAGAAAAGCATTGACGATTGACCATTACCACGAGTAAACTTGGTATATACATATAAGGAATTGTATGAAGTATTTACTTGTAGTCATGGTAAATATCTGGTGCAGTGAGGAGAAAGTGAACATCTCTAATTCCACGAGTAAACTTGGTATATACATATAAGGAATTGTATGAAGTATTTACCTGTAGTCATGGTAAATATCTGGTGCAGTGAGGAGAAAGTGAACATCTCTAATGCTTATGTTGCCTACTGGCTTCTCACTTTTCATTTCAACGATGGGTATGCCTCCGATTCTCTTTCTCCTCATCAGCTTGAACGCCTGAAGAACTGGTTCATCCTCATAGATCTGAGACAACAAATGATAATTCTGTCAGAAGAAGAAGTACTCAATGGAGCTGTAAGTAAGATTACACACTGACCTTTATGATATGATCCTTTGACATATTGGGAAGACCGACTTCAGAGAGAGTTTTGAGTCACATTCTTAGTACCAAGGGGAATCTTCCTAGTACTTCGAGAAAGAATGTCCGAAACAATAAACATTCTTAATAACCGGGTTCTTCTGGAATGTGCGCGGATTCAACAAATAAGAAAAACATTCCATTGTGAAGAAGTGGGTGCAGGAAGAATCATTACATTTTGGATGCTTATTGGAGACGAGAGTCAAGGAAAATAAGTCTCATCAAATAGTTTCATCAGTATTTCAGGGTTGGTCATTCTTGGCAAACTACGAATTCAACAGTCTTGGGCGTATTTGGGTGCTATGGAGAGAAGGCACTCGGGTTACGCCTATTTTCAAAACCGGCCAGATTATTACAGTGTCTGTTCTGTTAGAAGAACAAGAAGAGGAATTCTTTTGTTCCTTTGTATATGCTTCAAATCTGGAGGAGGAGAGAAGAAAACTTTGGGAAGACCTGCGTAGTCATCGTGATTCAGGCATTTTCCAAAATAAAAACTGGATGGCGATGGGAGATTTTAATGAAGTGCTGGCAGGAGAGGAGCACTCGCTATATGCAAATAATCCGAACATCTCGATAGGCACTCGTGAGTTCCAAGATACAGCTCGACATTGTCGATTTTCGGACCTGCATCATCATGGGCCCTTATTCACATGGTGCAACAAACGTGATGTAGATTTGATATGCAAGAAACTTGATCGAGTTCTTGTCAGTGAGCAGTGGTTACAAACATTTCCTAGCTCGTACTGTGTATTTGAGGCAGGCGGGTGCTCAGATCACTTGTGCTGCAGGATTATTTAATTCCCAAGAACGACAAACTCGCCAGCCTTTCAAGTTTGTCAATGCTAAAACAACACTTGAAGGATTTCTCCCGTTAGTTGAGAGTCATTGGACAGATACACCAGCTCTTTTCCATTCTACCTCTGCTTTGTATCGACTTTCAAAGAAGCTGAAGAGTTTGAAACCGAAACTTAGAGAGCTAAGGAAAGGAAAACTGGGAAACCTGTCAAGAAAAGCGAAGGCTACACATGAGGATCTCTGCGAGAAACAGAGAGTAAACTTACTGGATCCGTCAGATGAAGCAATGGCTGATGAAAAGTATGCGTATGAGAAATGGGCCCATGCTGCAGAACTAGAAGAAAACTTTCTGAAACAGCAATCGAAGCTTCACTGGCTTCATATTGGTGATAGAAATAATAAAACTTTTCACAGAGCAGCTACAGCAAGGAAATCAAAGACCACAATCAAAGAGGTCAAAGGTTCGAATGGAGATACCCTAGTAGGAGGGGATGCTATTAAAGAAGAAGCAGAGAGATTCTTCCGGGAATTCTTAACTCACAGCCCTGCAGATTATACAGGTGTTTCGGTGGAAACGTTGGCAGAGCTATTAAGTTATCGCTGTTCTGATCGGGATAGTGTGCAGCTCACTCGAGATGTCTCTGACGACGAAGTAAGGTCTGTCCTATTTGCCATGCCAAGCAACAAGTCCCCTGGTCCTGATGGATATACTACTGAATTTTTCAAAGTTTCATGGGCAGTGCTTGGGCGAGACTTTACGGTAGCCATCCAATCTTTCTTCAAGAAAGGATTCTTACCAAAGGGGATCAACTCAACCATACTCGCTCTTATACCAAAGAAAGAAGATGCAAGTGACATGAAAGACTACCGCCCTATATCATGTTGTAATGTTCTCTACAAAGTCATCTCGAAAATCTTGGCAAACAGACTGAAAGTAATCCTACCGGACTTCATAGCACCTAATCAATCAGCCTTTGTCAAAGGAAGATTGCTTATAGAAAACGTCTTACTTGCAACAGAGCTGGTCAAAGACTATCACAAGCCTTCCCTTCCCCTCAGATGCGCGCTGAAGATTGATATTTCAAAGGCCTTCGATTCTGTACAATGGAGCTTTATCAGTAATGTTTTACGCGTTATGGGCTTGCCGGAACAATTTATTGACTGGATAATGCTTTGTGTGTCCACAGCCTCTTTCTCAGTCCAAGTAAATGGTGAACCTGCGGGTTATTTTCAGAGCAATAGAGGCCTTAGGCAAGGCTGTGCTTTATCCCCTTACCTTTTTGTCATCAGCATGCATATTCTCTCGATGCTATTAAACAGAGCTGCTGAACAGAGGAATTTTGGCTATCATGCCAAATGCAAAAACCTGCGACTGACACACCTCTGCTTTACAGACGACCTCATGGTCTTCACAGATGGAAAACTGGCTTCCCTCAATGGTGTATTAAAAGTGTTTGAGGAGTTCACGCAAATCTCTGGCCTAAAAATCAGTTTGGAAAAGTCCACAATATACCTTGCAGGAGTCACAGCTGAAAAAACTGCAGAGATTGATATACATTTTCCTTTTGCAAGGGGGACGTTGGCAGTTCGGTATTTGGGTCTACCTCTGCTCACAAAGCGCTTGGAGAAAGCGGACTATGCCCCGTTAATAGAGAAGATTCGTTCCAAGATATCATCGTGGACCGCCCGATATCTCTCTTATGCTGGTCGATTGCAACTTATCACTTTTGTGATGACTAGTATAACAAATTTTTGGATGGGGTCCTTCAGGCTACCGAAAGCTTGTATTAGAGAAGTTGAGAGCCTGTGTTCGGCTTTTCTGTGGTCAGGACCAGAGCTAAATACTAGGAAGGCAAAGCTAGCTTGGATCGAGGTATGTCGCCCCAAAGAAGAAGGTGGTCTGGGCATTTGATTGCTAACTGATGTTAATCTAGTCTGCAATTTAAAACTAATATGGCGGATCCTCTCAAGTACTGACTCACTGTGGGTTCGATGGGTTCATGAATATCTCCTTCAGAAAAAGTCTTTCTGGTCTGTCAAATATAAACAACACTCAGGATCATGGATGTGGCGGAAATTGTTGAAGCACCGGGAACTCGCCCAAGATTTTCACACTGTGGAGGTTAAGGATGGAACTCGCACATCTTTCTGGTATGATAACTGGTCATCGTTGGGTAGGCTCATAGATCTCACAGGGGCACGGAGGGTCATTGATCTAGGTATCTCGATCACTGCAACGGTAGCTTCGGTACTCGATCATCACCGACAACGAAGACATTGGAGCGACATTCTCAACTCTATTGAGAACATAATTCATGCCCAATCGGCTATCAGACAGATAAGGGCAGATGATAAAGCTCTTTGGCGAAGGAGAAATGGGACCTGCCAACCAAAGTTTGTGTCGACTGATGTATGGGACCAAATTCGTCAGAAAAAACAGAGCATATCTTGGCCTCGAGGGGTATGGTTTCAACACTCAACGCCAAAGTTCTCTTTTATGACTTGGCTTGCTCTGCATAACCGGCTATTGACGGGTGATCGAATGATTCAATGGAACGTGGGAGCTTCTGGGGATTGCGTCCTATGCACGACTGATATGGAATCGAGAAACCACCTGTTTTTCTCGTGTCGCTACACCAACCAGATATGGGACGATCTCACTCGAGGCCTGCTTCAACAGAAGTACGTATCAAACTGGGATGACATTATTCACTTAATCTCGGCATCCAATGCACCTCACATTTGAGACCTTTCTGTTGAGGTATGTTCTACAAACCGCCATTACCTACATTTGGAGGGAAAGGAACAGCAGGCGCCATGGAGAACACCCTTCTCGCCTACAACGAATCACTGGGTTGATTGACAAAGCGGTACGAAATAGAATATCTTCAATTCGAAGACTGGACCCAAGATATGAAGAAGCACTTGCAAAATGGTTCGAGACACGCAACTGATCGCTTGGCGATTAGCACAACAAAAGTTTTTATTAAATCTCAACCTCAACAGTTCTGTTTTTGCTCTTAACCTAAAGTTGCACGAGATGTAGAATCGATTTTTTGGTTTGAATATAATTTAACATTCTCTTCAAAAAAAAAACAATATGTAAGTAATCGAGGAGGGATCGTTATAATGTATAAGAAGAAAAAATAAAACAGAGTTTAAATATGTAAATTTACTTGGAGTGTGGTTACTTGACGGTCGTAGGTAAGGTGACGACTGAGTTGGAGAGGAGCGGAGAGTTTATGGCAACTTACGAGGATAAGAACGGTGACTGGATGTTGGTCGGAGATGTGCCGTGGATGTGAGTTCCCTGAATTACCCTTGTGGATAGATCACTTAACTTACTTGATTACTATTTGCACACAAAAAAAAAACTTACTTGATTACTCTTTACGTTTTAATCAAACGCAAAATAAATTAATTTATCAACTAATTTTTCTCGGTTTTTGTTTAAGCATTCATCGCCCTCTTCTCTATTGGTTTGTTATTGATGGCAGAGAGCCAATCCGAACTTCTTTTTCTTCTTTTCTATCAGCCTCTTACTGTTTCTTTTCCAAACCTTTCCTTCATTTTTCTTTTCTCTCTCCCCAATTGCTTCTTGCTTCTGTGTCTCCTCCACAGTTGCAGCACAAGCTTTCTTTTCTAGATACTTAACATGTCGAGGACGAGGACCGCTGCTTCGGAGACCCACGACTCCATGGAATCTGAGGAGAGGGTAGACCTTGATGGTGACAATGATCGCGAGGAGACTCCTGGTTTGGAAATTTGCTTCTTCTTTCGAATGTCAATTTGTATCTTATGCATTGCTTTCACTTAAAACTGAGAATTAATTACAGACCACAGCTGTTTCATCAATTAGTTCAAAATTACAAGATGTTATGTATCACTTCTGTTTTCTGGTTTACAGTGTATTGTAAACCATAAGCCTCAAAAACTCACGTAAAAGACTTTCAGAACAAATGTTCATTCGGACATATTAGAATATATCCGGTTAATCAAAGAGGAAACTGATTTACACATTGAACTGAATTCTAATTACCCGGTTAGATAAACCGGATTTTCTAATAGGACACTCAAAGCTACACCAACTAGATCAGAATGTAAAAAAGCTGTAATACCTAAGGTCATTGTGTAAGTCATTGCATTTTTCGAGTTTGTTAGGTAAAGCAGAGGAGTACTTTGGGCCAATATTCTGGCATACTTAGAAAAAACAAAATTTTACATCGTATTGCCACAGTATGAAATAAGACGTAACAAATCCAAAATAGCAA